TTTTTATATTTATTTAGCTTTATAAAACCCTTTATTAATATTAATAATAAATATTAATATTTTCTTTAGCTAGCTAATCCTAAAAATAATATATTATATTTTTTTAAATAAATTTATTATATTAAATAATTTTATTAAACTTCTAGAAACTATTTATCCTATATATTTTATATTAATAAAAGTAATAGCTATAAAATACTTTATATTATTATATATAATTTAATACCTTAATTATTATATATATAATTAAATTATACATTATTTTAGTTTAATTTATATTAAAAACCTTTATATAAATAAAAGTATATAAAAAATACTTTAAGTAATAAACTTTTATAAATACTATTTAATATTACCCTAAGTATACTAGTATTTTACCTAGTTTATTTATAAATTAAAAGTTATATATAAAAACATATATATTTAATTTAAATTACCCTAAAATATATTTTTTTAAAATAATAAAACTTATTTTTATAAGTACTTATACCCATGGGTTTATTACTACTAGGTAAAATAGGCTAGTAAGTTAAATAGTTTTATATATTTAATAATTAATATTATTTGCACGCTCGCGACGCCAGGGTGAAAGTAAAAAATTTTAAAAATAATAAAAATAATAAGCTAAAAATAAAAATAATAAAAAAATAGTTAAAATTAAAAAAAGGATTACAGGTAATAGTGCCTTTAGTTATATAAATATTAGTAACTAAGTTTAACTTTTTTTTATAATAACTTTTATTATTTTATAAATATTTTAGGGGTAAATGTTATCTCTTTAATTTATAATTTAATTTTTATTTTTTTTTAGTATTTATTAAAGCTAATGTTTTTTAGGTTATTTTTTTATATAAAATAAATAGGATGCAGCCGGCAAACTAGTTTCTTAATAATATAAAGTAATAATAAAAATCTATATTTATAAGCTAAATTTATAACTAAAAAAGTATATATTAAAAATCTTATTATATATTTATTATAATTTATTACCGCCTTTTTAAAAAGCATATTTAGCTATATATTTATATATTTTTACTAAAAATAAATAAAAAATATAAAAATATAGCTTATACTTAGCTAATATATTATTAAAAATATAATTTAAAATAAATTTTTAAACTAAAATAACATGTAATATATTTTTAGTAGGTAATTATATTTTACTAGTATTTTTTTATACTAATTATATATATAAATTTTAAAAAATATTATAATATTATAATTATTTATTATATTATTATAATACTATTATAAATCACGTGGTTATAATAAGACTACGCTAACTCCACTATATTCCCAAACCAGCCAACGGCGGGATGGTAGTTAGGTCTTAGTAAATATTTTTAAAGTCTTAATCTAAATAACCAGTCTTATTAATGGCAGCTTTGTAATATTACTATTTTTTGTTAAGTTCATTTCCTGCGAGGAATTGAAGATACAATTCAAACCTTTTGAGTATCTAATCCGCAGAGTGCCTAAATCTGCGGAAGAAGACTGGCTGTTCAGCAAGGAGGGGCGCTACTCACCAACCGGTCACTAACAAGTGACAGAATGGTACAAGGCGCTTATCAAGGACCACGTCAATCGCCAGAAGGCTCGAGCTGTAAGGAAGAGGTAAGTATAGTAATAACCTGTTTCTAACCAGTCTCTAACTAGTTAGATATCGTGAAAGTAATGCTAGCCGCTTAACTCCTACTCCTAGCCCCAAAAAGAAGAGGTAAGTCCCCTAATTAGTAAGTGGCCAGTCGCTGACCAGTTAGCCCTATCATCAATCTTACTTCTAATGAGGTTGATCACACTAGCTCGCAGTCAGACCTCTTTGCTCTCATAATAACATGCAAGCGAACCTCCAGGGCTCTGGAACCTTCACACCTTGTTAGATACATTTAAATATTAGACACCATCACGCCACAGGCCTGACATAGGGTGTCCGCAGGAACAACAGTATCTGAAAACACTGCATAATAAAAGACAAGGAGCAAGATATCTTTTGATTCAGAAGCCCTAACTTGCTCAGCACCGGCCCCATGTCTTGTTTACAGCCCCCTTTTCCTGTTGCAATCCAGATTAAAGAGATCTTAATCGCGAGATTATACATGCACTTGCAAGTAATGCAGCCCCGGTCCCGGGATAACCAGTTAGATACCTACCACGGTCATGTTGTTTACTTCCTCTGAGATACCATACCAGGCAGGTTTAAAACTGCCTTTATTGCCCCTATAACGCAGACGTTATTCTATTTATTTATTCATCTAGTGCGGCAAGAAATCCCAGGCTAGACGTTAATAGAAAACAGGATTTCCGCGTCTGCTTGGAAAACGTACGCATCTGCGCTGCATTAACTCCAGAACATGGATGGGAACCATCACTAGGCGAGCCGTGGCGTTGCCGCCGCCCACGCCCCGGTCTCAAGTGCCTATGGTACGGTGCACAAGGCTCCGAAAGCTGTGCGAGCTAACCCTAACTTGGCGCTGTAGTGTTAGGGTTTGGCATGGCGGAGGAGTAGCGCTCATGTAGGGCTTCAAAGTCTGAAGGGTTCTTGGTGTACCTGGATAGTACCCTATTGTTCAGTCAGCTCGCCGAAAGAAAAGGTGAAACGCCGTCGTGGCAAATGACTCGGACAGGGGCCATGGCCATTTGCAAGGATTTGAGGTCGGTTAGGGTCTTGAACTGGGGCCATATCAAAGTTGATAACAAGTTAATCATCTCGGATCCGGCCAGAATCCTGACTGCTACCGTCGCCCTGTGTCCGTCGGCGACAAGAATATCTGATGATATACAAAAGCTATGGTTCTGATGTGATGGGGTTCTCCGTAAGCGCGGGGTTACGGGAACAGAGACAATTCAGATCTGTCCAGGGACCAAGGTTAACCTTGGAAGTATTTGCACACCTAAACGTTCAGTATCGTATGCCACCTGATATCGCCACCTTTGTTAGCGACCAATTCTATGAGGGGCGCATGTCAACTGATGATTCAAACCGAACAGAAGATCAGAGACCATTTTATTCCCTTATTAACTTCTCTAGGATAGATTGGTTATACAGACACACATATTACACATTGATCTAAGTGTGTATGCCTCTCAGCTGGTAACTCTAGTGGCAGGGTAAGGCGGATTCAAATAACACCTCTTTGGAAGACCGAAGACAGGGTAACAACCCTAAAGGGGATCGGAAGTATAATAAAAGGGGATAGGTACGCTTTGCTTTGTTAGGGCTGGCCCCGGGTATCAGCATGCTCGGGCGGGCTTGCCTTACCATCCTATTTGCTCCTTCTGCTGTTTCCGAGCCTGATAGATCATGTTGAGAATAAGGGAGATGAAGGCGTGCAGGAGATGCTTAATGTAATAGACTTTTATAGGTACTCTCTAACTTTGCCGTAAATATACTAGCAGTTTACCTAGTTTATTTATAAATTAAAAGTTATTTATAAAAACGCATATATGTAGTTTAAATTACCTTAAAATGCCCCTTCCCGTGATAATAAAACTTATTCCCACGGGTATTTATATTTATAGGTTTATTATTATTAAAATAGGCTAAAAAGTTAAATAATTTAATATATTTAATAATTAACCTTATCTTATCTACACGCAAAGCTAATACTTTTTTTATTTTTTTTATATAAAATAAATATAGCTGGTAAACCGGCTTTAAGCTTAATAATATAAAATAATAATAAAAATTTATATTTATAAGCTAAATTTATAATTAAAAAAGTATATATTAAAAATTTTATTATAAATTTATTATAATTTATTATTATTTTTTTAAATAGTATATTTAGCTGCATATTTATATATTTTTATTAAAAATAAATAAAAAATATAAAAATATAGCTTGTACTTAGCTAATATATTATTAAAAATATAATTTATAAAAAATTTTTAAATTAAAATAATATATAATATATTTTTAGCAGGTAATTATATTTTAATTATATTTTTTTATATTAATTATATATATAAATTTTAAAAAATACTATAATATTATAATTACTTATTATATTATTATAATACTATTATAAATCACGTGGTTATAACAAGGCTACGCTGACTCCACCATATTCCCGAACTAGCCAACGGCGGGATGGGAAGACGCCTACAGCCCCCGGCCATTCTACCCGCACCGGTGCCGTTTGACATTATCACCATGGATGGATCTTATTATCCGACGGGTTCAACACTCTGCTTGTCATGGTAGACAAATTCACTGAAGTTGGCTTTGTCCCAGGGAAAGCCACAGGGATCGCGGATAGACACTGCAGCGCCGTGTAGATATCTACCATACCTAGCCTTATCACACCCAGGGCCCCACGGTTTGGGTTTCCAGGAACCCGGAATATAAATGCTATAAATGGAAGCTAACCGCCAGGTTCCATATAGGGTTTTCTATTGATCAGGATTCCTTGGGTTGCTGTCTTCACTGACATTCTAGAGTACCATAGAATCAGCAGAGTATGGGATATCAGAAACATTGATTCAAGCACTCATTGAAACACACAAACATTCTCCCATTTCCATTAGGAGTCTCTGGCCCTGGCGATGATTTCTCCAGATATCCGTTGTCCGGACAAATCTATACAGATGCTTTTCGCGCCGGGGAGTTCTTTGAGCTTCAATTCTGAGAATTGGACCGGCATGATTAATAAAACCCCACTTGTACCACCCAGTAGCTTGGTGCATAGATCAGGAATATAAACCAAAGCACCGCCGGCGCTTGGCACATGCAGTCAGCTCGCATTGCCGTCAGGAAGTATTCCATGTTGTTGTTATGGGGTACACCAACTCGGTAGCTTTTGTTCAACGCCATAAGGACTTGTCGCTAGGCGAACTGGCAGGTTCTTGCTGCTGTTACATCCACGACATCGTGATCGCCTTTCTAGGGTTTTCGAGTGACTAGGGGCAGGGGAACTTGGTTGTCTAGCATCAATGCCTGGGTCCACAGTTCGCAGTACCTGCTGACCTTATGCAGCCATAGTTGTCCCCTGAGCACCCGTTTACTGCAAGTGTCCAGACGACGAGGTTGTTGCCGGTTCCTCCTCCGATCCTTCCGGGTAAGGCAAGGGCAAAGCTGGCTCTTCGAACGGCCAGAAGAAGAAGAGCAAGAAGGGTCGCAAAGGGACCAAAAAGCATCGGATTCTCTCGCGTGTCCCGGTGAGACCGTCTGTGCCCGTCTTCTGCTTGTAAGCTGGGCTCTCTGCTGGCCTGTGGATGTTGAAAGTGGGAGACTGTGGTGTCGGACTCCTGAGGCCGTTCGTGAAGCGCTGAGACATTCGGAGAATTAAGAGCTCAACGCATTGTTTGAGGCGGAAGCTCGAAGGCTGATTTGCGATCTCGAAAGGTGGCTCATTGAATCTGCAGACCGTCCAACAGACAAGGTTGCCACGAGCAGCCATTAGAGATCTGGCCAGTTACCAAAGAAATTTGAGGATATTCTACCTTTACGCAATTCATCAGCACTTTGCTTTGGCTTGCCCTACAAGGGCCCAGAGCTTTCATGAAACGCTGCAAGTGGAACTGTGGGAGAGCATACAGCAGTTCCTACCTGCATGAGCATGAACAGCCTTGCGAAAAGAATCCAGACACCAGGGACGGGCGGATACACTGTAATTAGACCTATGGAAGGACATCCATTCCAGTACGTTGTTGATGTGCCAAGTGGGATGCGGAGCGCTCTTCCATGAGTTGAGGAGTTGTACTTGATATTCCAACAGCTAGCAGATGACCTCAGGCTCGCCGCACTTACACATGGAGGAAATCACGGCGGCCATCGCCAAGGTAAAGCAGCCGCTCAAGGATTGGGACTTGAACAAAGAATTCCGGAAGATAATACCTTTCTCTCCTCGCCCAATTCAAACCCGTTTACAAAAAGTGGATTTCAGCACGCAAGCGTTAGGAGTTCGGGCTTGTTGCTGAGCTGGTTAAAAAGAGCTAACCCTAATCAGCCACGCAACGCACCTACCTACCTAGATAGCGCTGATTCTTGTTGCAATTGCTCTGCGCGCTAACGATGATATTAAGGCTGAATGATCAGCACATATACTATCACAATCTCACCACCAGAACTGGCAGGCAGTCTCCATTACACCACTACAAGTCAAATGAATCTTAATTCTACATACTTGTCCCGTTTGGCGAAGGCAAGGAGACTGAACGAGCCTACCTGTTTATATTTAAGGCTCCAGACCTATTCTTGACGGTCTTATTTAACCCTTACCAAAGAGCCATCTACTATGGCAACTGGAAGCCAAAATCAACCTATAATTCGGTTGAGATACTCCGCACATCCACTGAGTGAACACCAACCATAGCAGAGGCCCAATCTGCATGGCCATATACCCGAGACGAAGATCGACCTCACATGCGTCCGCGAGGTGGAGATGTCGAAATGTACTGCTTCCCTCTAGGTTCGTTCTACCACTGAGGTCATGATCCCCGAATAGCTCCGTCCAAGCTAGATCATCAGTCATCCATGCCATTTCATCTAGCCCTTCCCTTCACCTCTTCAGGAGAATGGCGATAGTGATCTCAGAAGGCCAACAACCAGTTCGTATCGAGATAGTGGACGTTCGAACCTTAACCAGAGGTACCGAACGCAAAACTGAGTGGATATACTTCCATAATCCAGGCCTCTAATTAGTGCAATCTGGCGGTGTTGAACTGGGTCCCAATGGCAAGAGAATCCAAATTGACATCACTCCCAAAATGATGGTACGCAGCCTTCTGGATAGCGTAGCTAGAGCCCTGGTTTGAAGCTAACTTGATTGTCTAGTCTCCCTACGATCACACTGCCGCCGTCCACCGTCGAACTGTCCAAGTACCATATACAATACCACGAGGCTTTCGTAGGCAACCGGGCATTGCACAGTCAGCTATAGCTTGCAGTCACCAAACGGACTATGGAATAGCGGAAGGTCACCCAAGTAGGCCGAGGTGGTTGGAATGACATTAATATCAAATCTATTCCGGGAGTTGCACATCGACCTGTCCGGATACCATATGCGTTGGCAACATGAAACTCTCCAGCTGCCTCTGGCTAATAATCTTTCTCTGATAACCCACAAAATGGCACCTTTGACGACATGGCGCCTCAGTTCGACAAGCAAACTGCCAATAAAGCATTCGCGTCTCTCTTCATACCCGGACTACAACCTACTGGCGCCCTATTAGGGCTCACAGACGTCGAGTCCCCGTGAACTCCTGCTGTATAAACTTGCTGCAGGCAATTTGCGCCCAGGACCCGGATGATATAATTTGCTGGAAGATGACCAGGCCGCGATTTACGCCTGAGTTCGGGCAGCCGGGCGATAAAGACCATGCATTCATGGCTGTTATAAATAGCTAACTCCAGCACAAGCTGGGTGCCAACTGGGTCCTTAAGGCCCTCTTTGCCCTCGATGTCAGCCGAAGAAAGATGATCCATCCTGTGACAAGCCGCGAGAGGAACGAAATCCTAAGCTACTAGATGTCGGGTTTGCGTCCGCGGGGGTAAGGACCTTTCTCCAGGCAGTGGCCCGGGACCTCTGCAGCTGGCAGTTGGAGCCTGAAACGGCTTCGAGAGCGTCGAGGCGAGAGTGTACCTTAGCTTTACACTGACGCGAGTACCCTACCAGGATCTCTCGTACATGGGTATGTGCACGCTTTCCCCTTCTGTCCAAGGTACCCTACCATACTTGATTTGATGACAGCAGTGGCTAACAAAAATCCTATATCTGGCAATGCTCCATCACGCGCGCAGGAAAGCAGGGCGATCCGTCAACTTAATCTATAAAATAGGTTGGGAAGACTGTGACCACTTGGAGCTGTTTGAGGAGCCAGAGGGATCTGGTCGGGACAACGAGGGCGATGCGGAGGGGGTGATATAAATTGTTATCAAAAATCTTGATACAGGATGGTTCATGTATTTATCATACTGCGGAGGACAAGGAGCAGGTGGTGGTATTGATCTGAAATAGAGTGGAATGCGATAATCAATGCAGGTATATTGAAAGACCCATGAGTAGTACAGAGTAAGACAAGGTTAAGCACACGATGCTAGATGTCCCTTACACACAATCAAGCAGACCGATCCAGCACAAGCCCCTTCAGACTATCAACCCTCCTCAATCGAACATGTATATTCTGCGCAACCTGCTCCATCTGACCTGCCGTATCAGTCTTCGTAAGCTCAGCTTCACTCTTCGGACCATGCAGGCCATGGAAGAGCACAGCAAGCACAGAAGTCCTCCACGGGCGAAGCCTTTGTCTGCTATTAAGGAGGATCGTCAACCCCAGGAAAACAGCCCCAAGGACAACCAGCCCACACGGAAGAACGAGCCAGGCCCAGTGGACAAAGACGTAGACCTGTAAGCCCTTGATGTCGCCGTTCACAGTGACGTTGCTGGCATCGAGCACGTATTTGATGTATGTATCGGCGATATTGCTCATCACTGATTCCAGTCCTACGTCGAGGATCCTATTGGCGGCGACTTGGTCTACTCGGGTCGTATTGATGCTTGGAGCCAAATCCGAGGTATTGGAAGCTTTGTATAGGGACTCTCTATAGCCTTGAAGATAGGTAGGGATACTCGTATAATCCCCTACTCCACAGAACGCCCCCTCGGAGACATTGATGTATCTGTTGTACGTGTTCGACAATGTGAAATTGATGGATTCAGGAGAGGCGCCATGTGAAGGTTTCCAGCAGCTTACATTGACTTTGCTGCCCAAGCTATTCTCAAAGACCCTGCCGTAATCGGGTGATGAAATATTGAACAATGCTGTCCCGTTGGAGACAGAGACATTATATTTCCTGGAACATAGAGCAAGAGCGCATTGCGTCACCTTGCCAGGACGAAAGAACTTTTCCAAGTTTAAGAACCGGGGTAGCCCTATATTCGTCGTGTTGACAAGCGTCAGATTCGCATGGGCGACAACGACGGCTGGACTTTCTATTCCCATATAGACCTCCGCGCCGGGGCGAGCTAAGCCGGTGCTGAGGGGCCAAATCACAGAATCGTATATCCACAGCCGGAGAGTAACAGCATTAGTCTCGCGTCTAAAATAAAACGAGGCGTTCATTGCCTTCTCTTGGCCTTGGGGAGGGACTAGTCGGCACGATGAATACACGGTCGTGTACGGCACGTCTTTGGAGAAGTTTAAATATGAGTTGAGATCCAACTCGGGGCATTTGAACGTAGTCTGAGAGGTGATATCTTCGCATTGGCTGCACAGCCCCACTGATTCGAATTCATCCCACTCGCAATTCCCTGAAGGACATGTTACGATTGGTTGCAGGTATTCGGATGCCTGCGCAAACACTCCAATCGGCGTAATTCGATCCTGCTGATCGTAAAGGTCGTCAAACACAATTTCCCGCTTCGCTATGGCAAGGCTGGAGTTGGCGGCCTCGACAGTCTCCAACGTACGGTACGTCAGGACCTGCTGGACAAATGGATCGAATATCAGGGCGAGAATGGTCAGCACCGCACCAAGAGATACAAGCGAGCGGCCCTTATCTTGCAGGACCATAAAGATCGCACCGAGTGGTCCGCGGCTGGCGCTATCAAAGAGCTCCATATTATATATCTGCTTCCTCCTCTTGTAGACCCCAATCCACTTCAACTGGCCAATGCAAGCCGAGATAACATAGATAAGTGACGACTTGGACGCAGTTGCGAGCGTCGAGATGATTGCGTTGAGGGTAAGTCCATAGGCAAACTCAGGCTGGGGCTCGCCATTGAACGTAACAAGGATGCAGACAATTGCAATACAGCAGGTGAGACTGAAGATCATCGCCAGGATCTCGAAGAGCCAGGTGTCCAGTTTCTTCCACCACCAGGCCTGGAATCTGCCCGGGTCTGGTGGTGATTCTTGCGGGGGCGGTAGGGGCGAGCCAGTCCGGGGAAGAAGCTCGTACTCGGATCCGGCTCCGGCTTCGGCTTGCTCGTGGCTTCGGCGCTCGGTATTGTGTGACATTCTGATGGCGGGGGCTCGGTTGGGGTCTGGTATTTGAGTTTGTTCGATGTTGAACGTCGGGGAGGCGGGTGGGCATCGATCCCCCCTTAAAGGCTCACAGGGACAAGGCTGAAGAGTCCAAACAGATCTGGCCGTTGCAGTGAGATGTCGTGCAACAACTGGTCAAACGTCCGTCTCTGTCGTGATTTGATAGAGAAGACAGGCATTCTATACGAGGCCAGCGTAGCACAAGGAGGGTGAGTGCAACGTCTCTGCCAATCTGCCATTCGCCGACGAACTCGTCCGTTCATCTGGAATCTGACATGAGGACGGGCGCTTCCTCCCTGTTTCTGGTTGGCGTGAGCATTCTATATTTGGGCGACGAAAAGTCGCAGAGCCTCTCGGAGATTCTGTTCGTCAGGAATGTGGGAGTTGGACGGGGCGTAGTCGGAAGGGACCTTCGAGTTGTCTAGGTAGGTACTTGCTCCCTGGTCCCTCCTTCCCAAATGCATTGACCAGGGTCTCTCACACCCCAAGACACATCCGTGACGTTGTTCTTATAGCGGTAGCCAATTACGCCACACCAAACAAGTCCCTGGCACTCATTTAGATGAGAATCAGGGCCCGTATGCATTACACGACGGCATGGACTTTGATATGTTCGCGGTTGCAGAAGTCTCGCGAGGCCGAAGCTGGCTCATGGGGGTTAGGCCATCAGGGAATCCTTGAGGATGCAATAAGCCTAGCAATGCTCGCGTTGGGGAGGGTTTTAGGCAACTGGGGGTGCCTCCTTTTTGTTCCAAGGAGCATCATGGTAAACAGGATACTAGGCTCCGTACGTAGCTGTGTGGTATATATTGTTCAATCAGATGCGGGGCTGGAAAGATGATCATCATTTGAGATAGAAAGCATAGCGTAGCATTAGTATAGAGCACAATTGGAACTTTTTCGCTATCGTACATGCAGATTCCCTGTCCCCCGCAGCGTAGCGTAGGCCAACAAGTAACCGCAGCTAGAAACTCCTCGAAACCATCGCGAGGGAATCATCCAAATCAAAAGAGCTACCCCGCCCATTGACGCGAACGGTAGTTTTCGAATACGTATACGACGATGTGTAAACTGGCGGTTTCGCGAAGGAAAAGTTCGGCACTAGGTCGTCGCTGCCAATGCTCCCTCTGCCCGGGAGAACGAGTGTACTTCCCTGGCTCGTTCCGCTGCCCGGAGGTCTTGCGGAGGATTGGGTTCTGGAGTATTCACTTCCCATGCTGCTTCGACCAGGGAGTACGATTGTGCTGCCGAGGCTTGTTTCGCTGTGGTATGAGTGTCTTTCGGTTGTGTATGATTCTGGGGGGAGTGCAGGTGTGCGGTTCTCGCTATAAAAGGTGGTTGATACATCTTCATCGGCCACCGCGGCCATGTCCGAGAATGGGTTTGAATACCGTAGGCTCTGGTGATGTTGTTCGTCAGGTCGATATGCAGCTCCTGCCTGGAAGTTCAAAAAAGCGGAAGCGGTTGGTGATGCGTCGTCAAGGTAAGACATTTGCGACCGAAAGTCGCGTCGTAGGCCTGTCCTTGAGTTTGCAGACGCCCGGTCATCTTGCAGACTATCTGCATCTGACTCTTGGCGAGCTCGGCGGCGATATATGAGAAGAACAATGAGAGCAATTAGTGTTATGAGCCCAAGAATTCCGAAGAGAATGCCGAATAGAAGAGCGTATGGAGGGCCGGAGTCATCGTCTGAGACAGACGACGTGGACGATGTGGATGAGGTAGGCTGAGTTGAAGTCTCGGTAGCGAACGTTGTATGAGTAGAGCTTGTAGATAAAGTGCTGTGGATGGTATTTAGGTCGGACAGATAATCTGAATCCCGGCTAGACGTATGGTTCGAGAAAGCCGTTCCAAAGTCTGGAATACTAGTAGCCGAAGCAGACGCGACCGCAGATGTCCTTTCGGTAGAAGACTGGTCAGGAGATGTCTTGCTTAAATTTCCGTCTTCCGCTAATGTCTCAGTAGGTGACGGTGCGTCGATAGAGGTGTTTGAGGGAGTGTCGATTGGAGAAGTAGCGGAATCGGTTGCTGCTGGTGCTCGTCGGATCTTTGTACATCGGAGTCCTTGGTAGAAGATAATGGAAGGGTTTGTGGACATGGCAGTCAGCGCTCAACTAAGCTGACGGCTGACGACATTGGAGGGTTGAGGCAAATGAGCGAGGGCCTCAAACGGCAAGAAGGTTCAATAAAAGTAGCAGTAAAGGCGAAATGCGTCAGAGAAAGTGTATGTGTAAAGCCAGTCAGGCCATGTCGTGAGGTTCGCCAGGAGTCCCTCGTCGAGAGCAGGCAGCGCAGAGGGTTGGAAGGAGTCGGAAGATCAGGCCTGGCCCTCTGCAAGTTAAGAATAGCCCTCCTCCAGCCTTTGGGCTGCGCATGGACCCCAAGCAACGGCTTTGACGGCCGTGCGAATGCTACCCAGACATGGGTCCCTGGCCAGGGGCGAGCCCAGACGAAGACGCATGTTCCTGAGTTGAAGGATCACATCGGAAGGAAGAGTGAAACAGAATCCGTCCAATGGGTTGGGCCAAGCAATCTATAGACAACGTTAGTCCGACCGGGGTCCGACGAGCTAAAGGGCAAACAAGTACAAGTCAATCAGCTACCACGCCATCATGGAGACAGGTACGGAATAGACAAGAGCTCCGCTCACATGATTCGTATTCACGTATACCGATGGATTGGTGTTGATGGTGTTGCTGTCCAGTGTCAAGGTGGGAAACGCTACGTCATTTGCGCTGAGTCAGCGGTTACGGTCCGACTTTGCCTCCGGACTCTCTCTACAGGTCACCTGACCATGCCTGTCCGTCAGATCGGGGCTCATACATCGATCTGACTGCTCAATTGCATAGTCCAGGGGTAAAACGCTTTGAGAGTCCTCTGAGACTCCTACTGTATGTGTTCCAAGTGTTGTGATGCAGTTGTTGGCGCAAACACCGAAACAACGGGATCTTCAGGCTGTGTCATGTCGCTCCACCGCGCAGTTGACATTGAGCCGGGCGTCACTCGTCAGTCGCTTGGACGCTCCCCCTCCTTCCACGCTTTCTCCTTGATCTTCAGTTCGGCGTTTCTTTCTCCAGCATTTGCTTAGCATCGTCTGGTTGATCTAGTTCGCGCATTCCATTGAATGATTTGGGCCTTTTGCCACTTCTCCCCCTCATCCCCTGAACCACACTTTCCGCCCACGAGGTTCCTGGACTTCAGGCCAATATAGTCGCATGTGATCTTCTGAATGCATTCCTGGTCTTCTGCCGCTTCTGAACTCCGTGCATTCGAGCAATTCCGCTTCGTCAAGTAGACCGTCATCATGTTCGGATGGAGTACAATGGGTAAGTCCACGTCTTCAATCTATCTGCCCCAAGCCACCCGCCCTCCCCCCTCAACGCCTCATTTCCATCCCGACTGCTAACGACGTCTCCCTGCAGGCCTCCCCGCAATCGGGTCGGACCCTGACTCAGAACGTTCTCCCCCGCCTCCTCCAACCAAGCTCGACTTTCCAGTCTACCGCGTCCCCGCCGTCCCCGACACTCCCTCCGAAGACTCCCTCCGCAATCTCCAAGCAGAGCTCGCCTCCATCCGTCGTCCCCAAGACATCACGCCGGACAAATTCAAAGACCTCAACCTCAAAGTCGAGACCGACGTACCGCTATCCGCAATTGTTCGTCACAATGGCGCAAAGACCGCTCCTCCGCTGCCGTGGGAATTGGATTGCCCCAACCCATCTCTCGGATCCCCCGCCCCCGCAGACGGAACGCCGATCTTCATGGACAACGAGAACCCATACCCGACCAAGGATAAATACGAGCTACTAGAGCAAGAATTGCTGCTGGACAATGACGATGCGTTCCGGGAGGTCGCCCGGTTGCCGCCTCGCGCTGGTCGCGAACGGGTCCGCGTGACGCAGACGAGGAAGTTCTGGACGGCGCTGGAACGGATGTCACAATACTGGGATGACAGCCTGGACAAGTATTTCGAGCGGCCAAAGTCGCCCGAGCCGAGCGATACTGAGGCGGATACCGAGACCACAGAGGTCATTGAGGCTACCCCAATGGACGTCGACCCGCCGACCACAACCACCACCCAAGACAACACAAAACCAGAACTAGTGAAGAAATACAAAGGCCGCCGCATCGCAGCCGGGCCCGCGATGCCAGAAGACGTCCGCGACGAGACAGTCCGCGCCCTCACGGAAATGGCAGCCTGGCCCTTCGGCTGCCAGGCCTCTCTCCCCATGAACACCCCCAAGCTCTCCCTCGGAACCCTTCTCTTCCCCGTCCGCCAAACATTCCTCGCAACGCGCTCGCCCAAGGACCGCCAGCTCGCCCGCAACGGGATGCTCGAGGGCCCCCTCTTCGTCGCCCAATGCCGCCCTGAGACCGTCTTCCGAGGACCCCACGAAAAACACGGCGACGGGCTCGGCGACACCTGCGATCTCGTCCGCGAAGTCGGCGCTATGCTTCTGGCCGCTCAGGAGCGGGCGCGCGAGGGCGCAATTGAGGTGCGGCCCGGCGAGGGAAAGTGGTGGACCACGAAGCCTCGATGGGGCGGAGCGCCGAACGATGCCATCGGCGACAGTGTGCGCATTATGCTTGAGCAGGAACAGCAAGCCGCGGCGTTGATGGGAAGGCCGCGCTCAAGTTCACGCCCGCAACCACCGGCGTTACGGAGACCGGGCCTACGACGCGCAATGAGCAGCAGCGACAAGTGGAAGATCATCTCGCCGGGCCCAGGCCTCTGGGATAAACGGATGCGGTATATCCAGATCGGTCGGGACAGAGACTGTCCTTATGACGACGTACGTCTCCCTCCACCCCCACCATCAACAAATCTAACAGGCACAGATCTACATGCTCTCCTCCCTAAACCACCACCTCTCAATCCTCCACCTCCGCATCCACCGCCGCTACATCGACATCATCACAAACGGCCGCAGCACCGTCTCCCCAACCGCGGGCTCCGACCCCGACCACCCCTGGCACATCCTCAAGCTGCGGCGCACGCGCTGGTACGATCTCTTTGATGCAAAGGACCGCCTCGACGTCTTCAGGGGCGTCTGGACTATCTTCCATGTTTTGCTGAGGGCCCCGCGCCCGCCCGCGGATGGGCCCCCGCCTAGTCTCCCGCCGATTTCGCCGGTTGATCCCGCGATTGTGTATGGGGGGTTGCCGTTGGAGTCTGTTTAGTCTGGCTGGGAGGGATGGGGTGGGAATGTACATAGAGTGATGTCTAGCATGGGGTTGCATATCATTTCATATCATACCATAAGTAAGTTAGGTTTAGGAAGGCTTAGCATACAGAATTCCACTTCAGCTATATACACATTCTCTGCTATGTCGCGTTTTCCCATCCACCTTAGTTCGTCGTTCGTAGCAATTCGTATCCATCCCATTGAGGTGCTTGCCATCGTCTACCTACCGGTAGGTAGTCCGGAGCACATACGCCTCTGTAACCTCCATCCACGCCATCCGAGTCCTAAGGTATGTAATTGCCCGCGCCCATCTGCCATCCTCCGAATCGACGTTCACTTGCTCTCAGTATCCCTTCTATCTACTATTTCCCCATAATTCACATATAAATTCCCGATCCCGTACAGGTATAATCTGACCTCCTCAGCGCAAGCTGGAGGTTCATCCATAGCAGCGGATGTGTTTCCCGCGAGCCAGGCTGATCAATCCCTCCATCCCTATCCTTTTCGCCTTGCCTTGCGTGCCTTGCGTGTCTTGCCTTGCGTCTGTCTAGCCTTGCGTCTGTCTAGCCTTGCGTCTGTCTAGCCTTGCGTCTGTCTAGCCTTGACATGCGTGCGCAAACTATGAACCGAAAACAGGAATCACCCAAATGGAACTCCGTCCCATCCTATTGCGTGCCGGAAGCACTCTCGTTGCTCTCTCCGAGACGAAGTAAGTTCCGTACGGAGACCGTTAGACTTGTCTTTGCGGTCGTACCTGGTTACGGGCCTTACGGCCCCTGAACCAGACGTGCCGGCGGACGGATGGAGACGGGTCGGGTGTACCGTGTCCCATGGATCCGCGTCAACCCATCCATAATTCCATATAGGTAATAGGTAAGCCCATAAATGGCCGTGACTGGAGTGACTAGCAGCCCTTCCATCCGAATGAAGAATCCATAACTGTGCGTAGTCCAATGTACAGGTACTCATGTCATGTACCCAGATATCTGCTAATAGGTACCGGGTACAGGACCCTGCGCCCGCCCGCCACCGCGTAACCATCGACCACGGAAACATTATCCGCATGCCACAGCCGCTGCATGTATGACGTCGCCCGTGGGACAGAGTGCTGATCCTTCGTGCATGCGACGCGATATGATATACGCGCCTGTGCTTGGTTTTTGGCTTGGGCGTGTGCTTTGACGCCTGGCTGGCTGGGGACTGGTGGATAAGACTTCCATGCTTCGACCAAAGCAAGGCAAAGGAGGGCAGGCAAGCCAGTTTCCCACATGGCAATGGGCCTGCAGTGGCGGGAACACTATCGGCCTCTGCTCTGACACTGCGTTGCGTTTGGCTACGCGTAGGCCCGTTGGTCGTTGGATAGATCGCCGCAGTAGCGCCCTAGCGAGGAGCTTCGATTGATAGGTACAGTGTAGCGGGACTGGCCTCAAGGCAAGCTTCCCAAGCAGTAACATCCAGAGCGTAAGGTCTAAGGCTCACGCTCTAGGCTCCTTTTGGAACGAAAGAATATAACATCTGTGCAGCGCAATGCCTAGATGCTTAACATTGTTGACTTACCAAAGGCGAGGCTGCTAGGGCCAGAGCACAACCAGAAAGGAGTCGAAGACTAAACCCACACCTCCTGGTACGGCAACTTCATGGCCGCGACAGACTGATGCATGATATGCGCCAGGCGCGCAGGAATCTCCACCTGCCGGCCATTGTCAGTACCCATATTCAGATCTGGCATTGAATACGGCGACTTCGAGGCTTCAACGGCCTGGTCTGGTTCCTGAGACTTTTCCATCTCAACCGCCTGTCGCAGACGTTCATACAACGGTTTAACGACATCGACGAGGCGCATGGCGGCTATATCCCAGTCTTCGCAGGCGCCCAGTGCTTGGAGGCAGAACCGGACATGCACCAGGTTATCGAATACCGATTCCAAGTCCGGTCGATCCTTGCGTCCAGCTTCGTCTTCGGCTCCGTCGTCTTGGGCTACGAGGGCCAGATTCTTGGCGGCATTCAGTAGGAGGACTATGCTTGAATGGTAGCAGGCGTTGCTTGGATTCAGTTAGCGCAGTCGTTACTAAGACAGGTGGCACACAAAACATACATAGTAAGCCAGCATCTCGCCAGGACACAGTCTTTGTCGTAAAGAAGTCTTATTAATCGAGCCAAGTGCTGCGCAAACGACTGGTATGTTTGGTGGGTATCCGCCGGCAAGCGCAACACTTCCCGGACGACCAGCTCGTCTGAGGGGTTCAGGGACTGCTTTACTGTGAAGTGCATCACGCGCTCGTAAAGCATGATTCGTGAAGTGATATGGATCATATGTAGGAAGAGGATCGGTCGGCTTGCGGCGTCGAAGTTTTCACTAGCCGCATCGTCTGCAGTAATGAGCGAGTCCAGGCGCATGGAGTTGGGAAGCTCCAAAAGCCAGGTGTCTAGATCGAGAGAGAGCTGCTGGAGATCGTCTATTGACACGGAAGCTGCGGAATGAACGAGATCGTACACCTGAGCTGATAGGTATGCGATTTTAAACGCGTGCCACCGAATCAGGTTCGGACAGAGTTGATTGGTAGGGTTCTCCATCGACTCGGACATGGCGAGAGTGTTAACCTTGCAAGATTAGCTGTCTATAGATGAAGGGTGAGCGGACGTTACCGACCATTTTGATCTCGTCTTGTCTCAAGTCGAGCTTGTAGCCAAGAGTCGAGGATAACCAGCTAGAGATCGAGGTTAGAATGCCAATGAACCTGATTAGAGTGTCTGACTGACCACTCAATAAAGGAGAGCGTCCGTGTTACTTTAGCCCGTTCTCTCCAGTCGGCACTACTGGTTTGCGTGTATACCGGCATTTTGTACCGTGCGATATTCAGGCCAGACGCTGCCATTTGTTAGTACGACGCCATTGAAGATCGAAAAGCGACCCACCCGTTATAGCTCGCGCCGTTGTGCTCTTGAGCAAGATCAAGTATATCGAGAGGCAAGCATGCACGCGCATAATGCTCAGATCATCCTCCACATCATCATGCAGCAGCGAGGAAGCGAGGTCAAAATATTTCTCTTTGGCAGAGGCCGGGATATCATCCGTACAATAGTGACTCCCCACGACTGCAACTGCGCAGATTTGACCGACCACGCTTCTCGTTGCATCTTCGGGTCTGTCGTAAGTTGTCTCAATCATACTCTCGCAATCCTCTCGCGGCATGATATAGAACAGGGTCCCACCGCATGAGAAGAACGAAGACACAGCACGGCGCGTGATCTCTCTAGGCGGCAATCCAAAAGGCCCTACAGACACAGTGGGGTCGTGGTCGATCGTGATGGAACTGCGCGACCTCTGCATATGCGCAACTGGTCTTTTCGGACGAGGGCTGGGTGACTGGGTTGGGCTCTGGTCGCTGGAGCCGGTGTCGGAACCCACGCTTGGTCGCGGAGTAGCGGCATGATCCAGCTCGTGCCCGTTCTCGCGTAGCTGGCGAAGGGTCTCAACCGCCTTGTCGAGCGAGTTGCACCGTAGCGACCTGACAATGGCCTCGAGGCGACGGTTCTTCTGCTCCAGGTTGCTGATGGCTGCTTTCCAGGTCTCCTTCTTGCGCTTGTCCGAGTTCTCGTATACGCACCGCTGGCGGGCCTTGACGCATTCTGAGCAGAAGGGTTTCCGGTTGTCGCACTGCAATAGTATAGTCAGTAGGCCGAGCGCGGTCAAATGGCAGAAGGCCAAACACACCCGGGATCTCTTGGCGCGGCAGTTGCTGCAGGCGAGACTGGTTTTCCGTCTGGCGGGAAGCGCAGGGCCGGCTTGCTGCTCGCTGGAGGGACGAATATGCTTGGGGCGGATAAAGGGGAGTGAAACTGAGTCCATGATGGAGAAGATCTAGATGGCAGGTGTCGGCGCCCGGTTAGTAGATCGGCTCCACTCGCTGTTATACGCCGAAGATGGTGACGTAGCCGCCCTGGGTCGCCCGCCACGTGATCACCGTATACTCCGTAGTCGGACCCGACGACAAATGCATTGTCGGGCCCGATCCATGGATGAGAATGGACAGGAAACGTGACAACTGTTGCGCCGCTGGGCTCAAGAAAACGGCTGATCTCCCCGGAAACCAGCACCAGCCAATCGGGACCCCTGGCAGAGTATCATGATCCGGTCTGCCGCTCATCAATGATGTCGCCATGGCTTTGCTTCCGGGGTAGGAATAACAAGAGACGATCCTGGCAGAGATCATATGTGCTGTTGATATACCTATAAAGTCTCTCCAACATGGGGAAGGTGCGATTTGTGGCTTTCTCTTCCGCTTCAGCCTTTCCGGAATATATATCTTGAGCCTCGGACTACTTGCAAAGCCCTAACATAAAATATTAGCATATCTATACGGCAAGTATGGCTTATTCTAGCAGTCATCTAGTAGTCAATACGATGACGGTATTGGGATTATCTATACGCTTGAGTCTCTTCAACTGAGGAGCGGACTTTACCATGCGAATCCCTACCTTGCACATTCCCCGACTGGCTTCGCAGCATCCGGAGTTATGCATACCTGAGCTCCCAGTCAGAATGCACCTGCATACCACCGTGGCACTCGATAACATCCGAACCAACCCCGTCTGGCCCGTCCAGTGAGAATTACTGAGGCTCTCCAAGCACATACATATACTTGGTCCCTTTGCCGGTGACCTTCTCAACCTACGTTCCAGAACAGTCCAGAGTGGCCCCAGCCAAAATCCCATCCGAGCTACCCGCCTACCACTCCCTGGCCTGGACTCTGGAGGCCCCTGCGCCGGACATGCTCGGGTGATCTGCAGGGAGCGTCCCGGCCGAAACTATTGGAGGGCAGCAATGTGACGGGTCGCCCTTGGGTACGTAAGCTTGTACCGGTATAGCTGGGGTTGGGTTTGGGTTTGAAGGATCCGAGGGCGGAGCGGAGCGATCATTCAAAATTGTGATCCGTCTGGGAAGGATTTGTCAGGGCGTGAAGAGTTGGTGAAGAGAGTATGCGACTATTATATTGTTCTAGAAGTCGTTGCGGCAAGCGAGTGTACGCCGGAGTAAGACGGACAGTTACAGAGACGTGCACCAAAAGTTTCCGCACACGCTAGTAAGCTTTATGTAACTTTCGAATTTTTTTATATATAATTACTATAAAAACAAATTCTAAGAGTATATAAACTATACTAAAACTAAAGGTGCCCCCCTAAAATTAAAAAATAACTTAAAATTAAAAAGATAAAGCTATTTAGACACCTAATTATTATTATCTTCTAATAAAAAAAGGTTTTAACATGTAAAAAGCTGCCCTTTTACCTTACGGCCCTTTTAACTATATATATTTTAATTTTTACAAGCCTTTTAATACTTATTGCCTTTTTCGCAGCGAATAACCTTTTAAATATATTAAACTAGCCTTTTAATTTAGTATTAAATAGTCTTTTAAAAAAGCTTTTTTTAGGCTTTATACTAGGCTATTTTACTAGTTTTTTTATTCTAAGGCACTTCGCGTGAAATTATACGCTTTTTTATTTAGGCCTAAGTAAACTTAATAGCATTAAAATTTAGTAAATTACTAGGCTAATTTATAATCTTTTAAACCTTTATAATATTATATACATGCTTTTAAATTTAGTGTTAATAAGCGGGGGCCCTATTTTTAAAAATAATAGTATTTAGCTAATTAATTATGCATTTTTAAGCAAAAGAAATAAAAAAAGGCTTTAAAATTTCCTATAAAAAAAAAAAGGTGTTAGTATTTAACCCCGTAGTTAGGAATAGCTTTAAAAACTAACTATTTAATATTAATACTAATTAATCTTTTTACCAGCGCTTTTTTCTAGCTTGCTATTAACCTTATTTTATTTTTACTAAGGCCTTTGGCCATCTTTTTTTAGGTGTAAATTAAGTTAATTTATAGCTATATTAATCTTTTACTTTACCTTTAATATAGGCTCTAGCTTATGGTTTAACTTATTAATTTTACAGGCTACTTAACACTTTTACTAGGCTAATTTTACTTTAAAAATATATAAAGGCCCCTTTTTATTATAGGTAAAGTAACTATATATTATAAAGTTAAAATACCCCTTTTAACACCTTTAAATATAAGTTTAATTATGTTTATTTTTTATTATTTTTTATACTTAAATTAAGCCACTGTCAGGGCCGACATTGATCCGGGTCACGCCATCAAGCAATGCCTGAGGCACCCAGGTCACGCCACCGCGAAGTGTTAACATCACCCGTGCGGGATGCCTTAGGCACCTATTTAGCTTAATAAATCTTATTACTATAAATTACTATATAAGACTTAATATAGTATTAAATTTAATATAATATTAGGTTTAATATAATATTAGCTTTAACTAGGGACCTTAGCTTAGGGACCTTAGGTTTTAAGTATTATTTAAGTAATAAAATAAAGGCGTGCCTTATACTAAATTACCTTAATAATTAAAAAGTAGTTATAAGGGGCGTGAATATAAAAATATTTAAATATTACTTATTTTTTAAATAAAAATAGCTTAGGAAATTACTTAAAGGCCTTAGGCCTTTAGGTAAGGCTTATATAAAAAAGCTAAAGGCTATAGTATATTTAATTTTTTAAGTAATTTTTTTAGTTAAATTTATTAAGATTTTAAATACTTTATTTTTATTAGTTAAAAATACTTTACCAAGCTTTATTATTATTAGTAAAAAATATTTAGGTACTAGGGCGCCCTTATAGTTAGGATTACTTTTTTTATTAATTTTTAAATATTATTAATATAGTATTTTAAACTAAATTTTTAAATAAATAAAGGCAGACTAGAGCTATTTTAGTTAAAGTTTTTAAAATATAAACTTAGGTATAAAAAAGCTTAAGACTATTATTTTTACCTAAACCTATATTATTAATATATAATAACACCCTTGTTATTAAAGTTAATAACTTAAACTATAAATTAAATAACTTATTTTTTTTAGTGGGTAAGGCTTAAAAAGATTTTTTATTACCTTATTTTTTTAAAGATTTTATATAATATATTAACCCTAAATATATTATAATAGGCGTTATTTTAATTAAAAATATTATTTTAAAAATGCCTATGGCTAGGCTATTTATTATAATATTATAGTAAAACATGCTATTAAAATTAAAGCCTAATAAAGGCAAGTAAATAGCTTAATAAACTAAAAAAAATTAATAGCTAAATAGGCCACCTTCGCCTGCTAGAAATTTTAAAAAGCTATTTAACTTATTAAGCTTAAATAATAGTAATAATACTATAAGTAAAATACTATTTAATTAAAACTAAGCGCATAAATAACCTTAAATATTTATTAAAAATAAGGTTATTAAGGTATTAGCATGGTAATTATTATAAAATAAGCCTAAGTTAAAAAAATTAAAGCCTTTAAATATTAAGATTTTTAATAGCAAGGACTTAATAAAACTAAAAATATTTTTTAATAATTTTAGGAATATATTTAATAAAGCCCCTGTGTAGTATAACACTAAAATAAGTAAAGTTATTTACTTAGTAAGTAAAGTTAAAAAAAATACATAATATAAGTAACGTGTAAAATAAAAAAAGCTTACTAAGCTACCCATGTAGGCAATATTTAAGTAATTTATATATTAATAAGTTAACCTAAAAAAAGATTAAGCTGGTTAAAAAATAAAGTGTTTTATAAATAATTAATAAAACGGCCAACTACTAAAGGTATAATTAATAAAGTTTTAAAAAATAGTTTTTAACCCCCTCCGGGGCACTACCAAAAAAGTTATTATTTATATTTATATATTAAATAAACTATATTAGTAGTATATAGCGCGCCTGTAGAATTTTTTAATTATTTTTAAAGGTATTAATATAAAAATAACCTAATATAAATTAATTTTAGTATACAAAAAGCAAAAAGCGCCTAGGAATAGCAGCTAAAAAAAAAATAATAAAAACTTTTTTATTATAAAAAATAAGAATCTAGTAGAAGGTACTAACTAAAACTAGAATAAAAGTATTTTAGTAAATAAAAAAAACTAAAATTTATTAGGGTAGCCCTTAAAAAAGCAAGGTTAAAAAAATTATTATAGCTTTAAAAGTAAAACTAATAAGTAAAAGCTAGCGCAAGCTAAGCATTAGCTCTTGCCTAAAAAATAAAATAAATAAAAAAAAAAGAACCGCTGCTATACATGCGGTGTAAAAGGGTATTTTATAAAAAATTACTTAACTAAAATAAAAGTAAATAAAAAATTAAAAACTAAATAGTAATTATTAGGTTCTAAGCTATTAACTTTAACTAGTATAAATAAACCTACCACATTCCCTATCCTAGCGAATTTATAAGTTTAAAAAAATAATTTAAATAAATAATTTAAAGCTTTATTAAATACTAGGGCTAGTATAAATTTTTTTTTAGTTTAGTTTTTAAAAAAGTAAGAAATTAAAATAGCTATAGACTAGATGCTGTAACTAGTCTAGTATATTAATAAAAAAACTACTTTATGCTATAACTAATTTAAGGCTAAAATATAAATCCGCGATTTTATTAGCAAGATAAAAATATTTAATATAATATTTTATATTATTAATTTTATTTATAATAAGTACCAAGCCGTGCTTGAACGGCCTTAAATAACTAAAGTAAATTTAAATATTTTTTTAATTATTAATTAATAGTATTAGTGGTATTATACCCCATGCTTTTAAATTAAACTAGTAAAAAAATTTATTAAAATAATAAAAAAGGGTTTTATACTCTTAGTTTTATATAAATTAAAAAAAATTAAAGGTGTATTAGTTATAGTCCTGCCTTTTTAATATACTAAATAAAGTTAGGTCTTTTTTAAGAAAGGAGCATTTTAACTTTTAAGTAAAAAAGTATATTAT